TGTGTGTGTGTGTAGTGGACCTTGCTTTTCCAACTGCACCCTCCTTTGTACCCACTTGGGGGGTGTGTGTGTGTACCTTGCTTTTCCAACTGCACCCTCCTTTGTACCCAGTCAAGGGATGCTCTATTGCCTGGGGTCCCCTGGACCCTATCACTCCCATAAATGTGCCTAGGTGTGGTGTTCTTGGCCAAGTGGGTGTAGAGGAGGGAGGTGTGATGTGGGTCTGTGCCCCTCCCCCCAGTATAGAGCAAATGCTGGCCGCCAACCCTGGCAAGACCCCGATCAGCCTTCTTCAGGAGTATGGGACCAGAATAGGGAAGACGCCCGTGTACGACCTTCTCAAAGCCGAGGGCCAAGCCCATCAGCCTAATTTCACCTTTCGGGTCACCGTTGGCGACACCAGCTGCACTGGTGAGGAAGGCTTGGGCAGCCTGGTTGCCCTGTGTGTATTCACAGGGCCCCTGGCTTTGCACTGTGGAGTCTCTCTTTTCACAGTCCTCTTCTCCAAGACCAAGGGCGGGAGGGAGGGAAGGAGGGAGAGATTTCAGTGGGAAAAGCCACTGGCTGGATTGGGAGAACAGGGCTGTGTGAAGGTGGATGGGACTCGGGAGAGGTGGGGGAGTGGAGTGCCACAGGGATCTGGCAAGTTCTTATCATTCCGGGGGGGGGGGGGAAGAGACAAAATTCTCAGTGGATATGTGCGAGAGCCAGTGCCCACTGTACTAAGTTCTGTGTCTCATGCTGAACATAACTATGGGAGATTCAATGGCTGATGCCTAGTTTCATACTTAGTAAGTGGCAGGGTAAGGTTTTAACTGCAGAGCCTACCCTGTGTTGTTCCAGCTATCTATTGAGAGAAAACAAGGTGTTTGCGGAGGAAAGAAGGGCAGAGGAGCCCCAAACTGTTTGAGCTCACAAGTCCTGCTTGGCCTGACCTAATTCTGGAAGTAATGGCAATCTAAGGGCCCCATCTTCCAGCCATTAGTGGAACCCTTCTAGTCTTGGGCAGCGGGCGGTTGGTCTGAGGGCTGTGAAGAGAGGTTGTGGGATGTTGGTCTTTCTTCCGTCCATCCAGTGATCGCCAGTATTGCCCACATCCCCTCCCTCAGGTCAGGGCCCCAGCAAGAAGGCAGCCAAGCACAAGGCAGCTGAGGTGGCCCTCAAACACCTCAAAGGGGGGAGCATGCTGGAACCGGCCCTGGAGGACAGCAGGTGAGGGAGGAACAGCCAAGGCAGGCCCCTATACCACCCCTTTCTGTACCACCCCTATTACACCCCCCGAGGCCTTGCTTGGTAATGCTTGGCCTGCTTCATCTGATACCTTTCTGAGGATTTCCTCTGGAGCTGAACAGGGGGCTTCCAGGGCTTCTGTTGCTGTGAGCAATTCTTAGAGGAATAGCTAGCCCCTTTGAGGGGTTGTGGCTCTTTTGGGTTAGGGAAGGGAAGAAGTGGGTGGAGGCTGAGGCTGACAGGAGTCCTTCCCCGTTATGCCCTTTTTTCTAGCAAGATGTCCTTTCCTCTTTCACATTCAGGTTGGGGATGGTTGTTCCCATGGTTCTGGGTAGGAAAAAAGACTTTTTTTGAGACTTCCTTTTCTCAGTTGTTTTGAGCCAGTGTTGGGCAGCAGAAGATCCTTTGAGGAGGTGCTGTTATTGAGCTTAATCGTGGCTCATCTGGGAAGTTCTTTTGGGATGGGAAGGTCAGGAGGACCTTGGTCCCCACCCCTCTCCCCCACATGGGTGTGAATCCGAGGCCCCCTTCCCCTCGGGAAGTTCTTTTTCTCCCCTAGATTCTTCGCTGCCTGAGGACGTTCCTGATTTTATTGCTGCTGCAGTTGCTGCTCCTGTTCCATCTGCTGGCCTCACCAGGTATCTCACATCCCCTGACCATCTTGAGGGAGGAAGGGGGGAGGTCCTGGCTCCTGGCCCCTCGTCCTGACTGGCCCTTGGATCCAGGCTGGTTAGGATGAGGAAATCTGAGAGCAAACAACAGTAGACTTAACTGGGAATCAGAGTTTGAGGAATTTGCACCAGTTGGTAAGCTTTTTGGATAGGAGATAATTTGTGATTCTTTTTTTTTTTTTTTTTTGTCAGTCGTGGGGCTTGAACTCTGGGTCTGGGTGCTGTCCCGCTCAGCTCTTCAGCTCAAACCTAGCGCTCTACCACTTGAGCCACAGCACCATTTCCAGTGATTAATTGGAGATAAGAGTCTCATAGATAGCCGGGCGCTGGTGGCTCACGCCTATAATCCTAGCTACTCAGGAGGCTGAGATCTGAGGATCGCGGTTCAAAGCCAGCCAGGGCAGGAGAGACCGTGAGACTCCTATCTCCAATAAACCACCAGAAAACCGGAAGTGGCGCTGTAGCTCAAGTGGTAGAACGCTCACCTTGAGCTGAA